ATGTATATATGTGTGTGTGTGTGTGTGTGTTATTATTTTTCTATGTATACTACTGTATTCATAAAATCACTTTGGGTCAACATCTGTTGTGTTAAATGTGCTCTATAAATACAACTTGACTTAGTTGTTTTGACATTATACATCAGACAGTGAATCTGATGTTAATGTGATTTGTTGCATTATAGCTATTTCTTAATAATATAATTCCAAGCAAAAAAGATGCAACCTCTGAAGTAGCTGAATTAAAACACATGAAAGATGTAAGAAATACATACAAATGTTGGGTCAAACAGTATGTTTTAATAAGATTAAACTATTTTTGCTAGAGGCACAATATCCAGAACTATATTGCATTACATTTAATCATTAAGCAGACGCTTTTATTAGTGACTTCAAAAAATTAAGAACATCACATGCAAGTTATCATACAAGAAAACACAGTATATGCAGTCTAAAAAGACCAACAATTAAATAATTAAAAAAATTTCACCAAGATACTTGTTTATACTGTTTCAAAATTTTGTTTCAATTAAATGTACCACTTAAATGATTAAAATATGATTAAAAGTAATGAAAGGTAAGCTAATTCACAATTTTTCTGAGGTTAAATATATTCCGTAATTTCACAATGGAACTTTATCCAATAATTTTTAAGTTAATTATTTTCATTGATGAATCAGCATCAGTTCTGCTTTTTCATCTTGTATTGTTTGGATTTGTTGAATTCATTCTTTTTTACTAGTTACAAAACTCACAATTCGGTTCAGTTTTTCAGCCCAGTGAAACGCATCAAATGATCTAAAGCCCCCTTATTGTTCTGTTCTTCTCCAGCTTTCCTCAGATCCTCCAGGTTCTTCATCCATTCATCTTTTCCCTCCTTCTTCAGTCTGGGAATCAAGAAATCCAGATGCCGAAGAGTGAAAGCGCTGTCTGCTTTTAATGCAATCTCACACAGATTAATGATGGTCATGTAAGCTTCATGCAGCAGGTTGAACTTTTCATTTGCAATCTTCTCCAGATCACTGATCAGTTTTTCTTCTATTTCTGTTTCATTCTCAGACTCTTTCATGTAACAGTTTTTGTCAAAACTGTTTTGAGGCCTTTCAAAAATGTGAAGCATGGCTTTCAGCGCATAAAATGTCATAGTGACATCTTTTGTTTTTTTCACATATTTTTTGTTCTCTTTGACATGTTCGCTTGGAGGACACTTCCCTGAACACACAGTGCACTTGTTGTTTTCCATGACTCCACACTTTGAAGGATCTGTTGCCCACCAGCAGCCCTCCAAATGACAGTTTTCCTCACAAGTGGAGCAGCAGGTCGCGTTGCTGTTCCACCACCATTCATTTTCAATGAGGACTTTTTCTTTGAAAACTCTCTTGATTATAAACTCAAAGTTTTCATCTTTCTGAATCTTGTCTCTGTTCTTTCTGACGACTTCCTGAATCTGATTCAGTTCTTCAGTTTTTAACTCCTTCTCAGTGATTTGCTCCATCAGATTAGAGACACAGGCCTCAAGTCGTCTTCGCTCTTTCAGAACATTTAATGTCAACTTAAGACTTTTTCTGTTCTTTTCGTCCAGGGGTGTGAATAACTCATTCATGCTTTCGTCTCCCATTTCCCAGGCTGATTTCAAAACTCGCTTATACCGTTTGGTTCTCTTCTCTTTCTGTCGGTTGTTGAATAAGAAGTAAACAGGTTCATTGTCTTCATCTTTTCTGCAGGGTATTTCTGCTTTCTTAATGGCACTGAGAGCATCTCTTGGAGGTCCTCCATCTGACTGTGTGAGTACAAACACTATGTTGTTCTCTATATCTGTAGCAAACAGAGAAAGAACTGAGTGAAATATGTAAAGCTCTTTTCCAGTCTCTATATCTTTACCAAACAGAGACAGAACTGAGTGAAATATGTAAAGCTCTTTTCCAGAGATTCGATTCTGAGTCGCCTTCATCACAAAACACACTGCATCAATATAATAAATCCCATCCTCATCTGAGAATAATCTGATCAGATACTCAGAAATCTCTCTATCTTTCTCGTATCCTTCAGTGTCTGCGTATCCTGGGGTGTCAATGATGGTCAGAGATGTTGGGTTTTCTTCAACAAACACCTCATAAACAGTGATCTCAGATGTCTGGGATTTTGTTTGATCTTCATGTTTTTCTTCTTCTGTGATTTGATAAAACTCTTCATCCTCAAACTTCACTCCCAGTAAGTAGTTGATCATGGTGTTGATCATGGTGGTTTTCCCAGTACCAGTTTCTCCCACCATCAGTATGACTTTGTTCTGCTTGTTTTTGTCTCTTCTTCCATATGTCCATCGTCTGACCTTTTTATTCATCCCATCAATATATTTTCTTTCTGTGTTCAGTTGGTAACGTGCTGGAGGACCTGCTTCTGTTAGAGTGGCATCATAACGTGATCTGCTAAAGAGAAAATTGATTTAGCATCAACATTATTATTTCAATCAGCTATTTATTAGCATATACAGTGCCTGTTTGAGGGCAGTTATTATGACTTTTAATGTTTGTTTTTTTTTCAACAGCTTTTCAAATTAATGACACCAGGATTCAGTCAGTCATGGAGATTTTGTTTGTGTCTTGTGTGTGTCTGTTCTCTCTGCCTCTTGTTCCAGTGCCCGCTGACGTTCGCAATGGGAACCTCACCGAGCAAAAGGGGGATATATGTAGGGATTTTTTAATACCACAAACCACAGGACTGTGATATGCCACAGAAACAACTCATCATGAGATGACGAACCAATCTAATCAAGAGATAACACAGAGATCTTTTGTATCAGGACTACAACTTATATATACCTCGTGATGTCTTGTGACCGCCAATGAATGAACTACTACATCCAACAGGAAGAGGACGAGTAATTTAATCACACCCTCAGGCCTGAAACGCGGGATCTATGCATGACTATCACATGACGTTTGACCATCTGCTTC